CCTACCAGCAATGGCCTCCAACCTACTAGCGATGGCCTCCAACCTACTAGCGATGGCCTCCAACCTAAGGCTTTTATTGAATCAACTTCGCGACCCAAATCCTTTGAGAGACGCAGATAAACCGCTCCAGGTCACCTGCTTGGAGTGCCTCTCCACTGCAGGGAGCTTCGTCCATATCTAAGGAAGCCGCTTGCAGGTTTGTCAAATGCTCAATTCTTCAGTATGCCACAAAAACTCTGATTCTGCTGGCTACATACTACCACCTAGTATGTCCTTAAATGTTGAAAGACTACAAATGGGAGTTCATACAGCAAACATTGTATATATGCAAAAATGAGACCTCTGAGATCCTTGCTGGCAGCGAATGCGGTTGTGAGCTGTCCGGGCTCCAAGAACTCTCTTTCAAAGCGCACGCTCTTCTTACTTTTCTTTGTTCTTTTTTTGACCAAGGGCGAATCTCTCAACTTGTTTGCATGCGAAGCTGCAATGCAACGTACCTTTGTAGGTGGCAACTGACCAAATCTCGGGAGAGACGATTGAATACGTCCAAGCTGCGCGGCCTTGAGTGCGCAAGCAGTGCGGTGACGATGTATAAATGATACCGTCTCGATTTGATGTCCTTTTTGACGACCTCGCAGGTATCATCTACAGTTAAACTTGATGAAACAGGCAAGACCAGGAACCTGGCACCTCCGGTCAACCAGTTTCTTGCGCATGCCAGATCACCACAGAGCCGGTGCACCGAATCGTCTGCACTGCAGAGCAGAGGCACCATATCTGCCGTTCTCCCTTTGGAAGCAATGCAACACTTAGTTCGATGTTAAAAGCTTGAGCATGCGCTACTCAACCTGTGTGGTGCTAAGGGTGGTTGTGGCGGGATACAAGACCGTGATCGTCTTGGACAGTGAGGCGAAAGCAGCACCTGACAGCGCCAAACCGCAGCTTGTTTTTTGCTTGAAGAAACGATGGAAGTGAACATGATTGAACTATATACTATATTGAACTAATACTTCAGACATCCTCCAGCAACACTTGTTGTTTCTTCCCTGTGTTGGCATGGTGTAATGAGCAACTTATATAATGGACTGGGAGGTTTGCAAACCTCTTGATTCTATACAATTTTCATTCAAACAGTTTTGGAGGATGTAAGTCGTCATGAGCCAAAAGTCCATGAAGGATTTTGAAGTACTGTCTTACGGTTGGCGGTTGTCAGAACTCCCCATTCCAACTCTCGACAGGGTATATAAGGTTCTTTCTCTTTTCTGTGTTTGGATTCCACCCGTGATCCCTTCCAGTGCTCGTCCGTGCCACCCTTGCAGTTGAATTTGGTGGCGTCTTGCAACATGCCCTTTGCGAGAGTCTCAGCACTTGAATCAGAATGAGGTGTGCCAAGTTTAAATTAATTCGCCCACAGAAGCCTACCTGCCACATTAGCAGTTTTTTGCAAACATGGCATGTTGTTTGCCTTGGCGATGGCCTGACCAACATAACTTAAGTTTCCAAAAAAATCTAGGAAGCAAATCATTAGTACGAGTTTTCTTCAAGGAAGCTTTTCTCGCCTGAGGGCGGGGGAGGGCTTCCTTTCCTTCAAGAAGCGTGAGCTATCCTGCGTCCTACCTAGAAGCTAACTTAGTCTACTAGTCCCTTGCTTAATGAAGTAGGCGCCTACTTAATTAAGTAGGCAGGGGGAGCAAAAAATTGATACTGAAAAAATAGGGGATGGAATTTCCTCTACAGAATCGCGGGGGTTGGGACCCCGATAAGACAATTGTTTTAGCCACTTTTTCTTGGCTCATATGGAGCTTGTAAAGTCCTGTCCTTCAAGAGCCTCGATTTTATAGAGAATTGTTGTTTTTTACAAGCTTGATTCTATAGAGGCTTATAAGTATAGTGAAGGGATTCTGGATGTCTTAGGCATACTGATTCTATAGAGAATTATTTGTATGATTTTGCATGTTAGGAACTGCAATTCTATAGAGATTGCTTTTTCTTGGCATATGCAGCCTCTGGACGGCTTGGGATGACTTGGGAAAGGGGAGAAGTGGATGATTTGGGGACAGCATCTGGACACATTTGGACACTATAAAATCAGAGATCATCACAGATCCTTACCTCTCTAATCCTCTCCATAACACCTGCTGTCTTCTCTATAGATTTGTGGTCCTACCAACTGTCAAATCAATACCTTCCAAGGAAATTGCATTTTTATGTTTTGTTGAGACCCCTGGACCTTGATTCTATACAGAAACAGGTTCTTACTATATAGATATTTTTGAGATCCATGTACCTTGATTGTACAGAGAACCAGGTTCAGACTACAACTCGACCACACCTGTTCGGGAGTACCTTGGGACCTGCATTTTTATAGACAAAAATCCTCAATATTCACAACTTTCAACAGCTTTTGACAGACTAATGGCCCTCAATTCAATAGAGCTGAATCTTTGTATTTGGGCTCTTTTCCTATGTTATCCTCAATTTTATAGGGTCAAAAAATGACCCTCATTGGAGGGGGGTTGATCCCAGCATGTTAGCACTATAAAATTGCACCCCCCGAGGTACCCACTTAATTCCAACCCCGATCTGAAAAAAATATGCAACTACGTTTATTTGTCTCACATGTTTGATAACTTTCAAGACTTGCATTCGGTTAGTTTGCTGCTTGGTTGCCGGCTAGCGGCAACAAGTAAGCTCTGAAGAAATGCATGAATTAATTGAAGATGAACCGCCGCAATTCGTTCGTACAAAACACCATCATTTGATTAATTTTGATTACCAGCTGTTCTGCGATGCAGGGTCGTGCGCTCAACACCCTGCTTACTCAAATGCTTGAAAGACAGAACGTTTCATTTGCAACTGCCTTGCTGCACTTGCCTTCGGCAAAATAGAACTCACAAGGATAGCAAGAATCGCACATGAACCGTGAAAAGGATGGAAATTCAGCAAACAGATAAGGAGTCAAGGCTAAAGACTATCGGTAAGACGGAAGTGCGCCTTTGAATACATGAGGCGAAGGTCTTGGATTCACGATGCAAAATGTCCAGAGTTCAAGCATTACGGTTGTGACTCAATCATTCAACATGCTGTTTAGGCTTAATGTTGAATCTGAAATAGTAAACAGAGGCCCGCCCCAGCAAACAATCGAGGGAGTCTGAATAGAACCAGTAAAAGTAAAAGTAGTAGTAGTAGTAGTAGTAGTAGTAAGTAGTAGTAAGTAGTAGTAAGTAGTAGTAAGTAGTA